TAAGGGCAAACCGTTATATATAATTAACATCTCCCCAATGAAAAAATACATCTTGAAAATACTCTCCTCAACTTGTGTATACTCCTTAATTAGTTAGGTTCAGGCTCAACCAACTTCTTTTCCAAAAATCTACCATTGAAACAGAGAGGACTTCCAAATACCAACATTACCAGAACACTAAGTCCTAACTAGTGGAACTTGTTGCTGGCATGGCTTACTATGAAATCTGCAGGACTATCCCACAGCCAGCATGGATGAGGGGTATGTGTAGAATCATGTCCAAATGTTACCCAGTATCTAAAACACTTTTTGAAAGGAGAAATGCAATCAAGACTGGTTTGGAGCTCTGATTGCTCCACTGGAATCTCTCACTATGTAAAACTAGAAGAGAGATCCCTCCAAGAAAAATGCCTCCTTCGCTTAGAAATGCAACCATCCTCAATGAGCTGCAAGATGGTTCTGTGAGAAACTCACTGAAACTCTTGATCATCCAACTCTGCACTTCATTGTTGAAGGGCAAGGCAATTTCTCATTTGCAAAGGGCACTTGTATTACAAAATCAACTTGTCTATGGAGACATTTCATTGGACACTGAGGCAAAGATGAGGAGCATCAAGGCAACTGCCTCTGATGCCTCTGTGAAGTTCCTGCCCTGGCTTCAATTCTAATGCTGAGGCAACATAGCTCAAGTTCATCTGATGGTGGTGAATACCTTCATTAAATGAATAAACTTTTAAAAATCCTACCATGTGTACAGTCAAAGACCAAAGTGCAGAGGGTCCTAATAAAACAGACGTTCTCCAAAGGATAAACACCTGCTTTGCATTTACATATATGTACATGGATTTTAGCCCAATTATTGGTCTCAAAAAGATAACATCATAGGTCAATATATTAGCAACCACCCAGCTTCTGTGTATCTACAGCTTTTTCTTGAATTGGAAGAGGAGTTCACATGCCTGAGCCTCACAATCTCAAGCAACTCATCCCACAACACCAAAATGCAACACATTTATTGGCAATGCATCAACAGGAATCACTCCTACATGAAGGGAATGGGGGAAAATATTATGTAAACAAACAAGTGACAATCACCATTTAGACATATGAGGACTACATATCCACCATACCAGTGAAAAGGCATGGGTGTACACCATCCACCTGGATGCATCAGACATCAAGGCCCAATTTACAAATCAGTCAAATTGGTAATTCACAATATCACTTTTTTATGAAATTCAGTTGTATTTAAAACAATCTATTATTTAAAAATCTAACTAAAGATTGCTATTGACATCAAAAGCACGCATTGAAGTTGTTCTTCATATCAGGTTAAATGAAAACGAAAGTCGTCAGGAGCATCCAACAGAAACCTGTTTTGATGACTTACACTATGGCTCTGCAATTATATGACTGTTTCATTATTTTACGGTGAACGAACCCACATGCATGGGCGCTGTGCTTGCTTGAACTTAACTGTGAATTTATAGAGGTTTCATTTTTACTCTGACCATTCTCGAAATGGAACTGAGCTCCCAAAAGACAGTTTTGTTAAAAT